AAACAACATGTCTTTATAGTTTCTTTTAAGTTTTTTTTTTTTTTTTTTTTCAATTAAAATTTCTTGAATTAATGCTTGTTTTTGGAGCAAATACTTGAAAGCGTTTTAATGCTTTTCAGCATTTATATGTTTTCTCAAAATCTGAATATTTTAAGTAAATTTTCAAATTTTACACGAATATTTGCTGTTTCTAAGACATTCTGCAAGTCAATTTTTTTATTGCATTACTCAATTGCCACTTAAATTTCAAGGCGAACTAAGCTTTATCCATTTTAGTTTAATGAAATAAAATTAAATAAATTCAGCTTCATAAGCTGCTGAATAATGTTTTCAGAGCTTTATAAACTGCTAAATAATGTTTTCAACTGTCATTAAATTTCACAGAGGACTAAAATTTATCCATTTCATTTTAATGAAATAAAAATTAAATAAATCCAGCTTTATAAATTGCCAAACAATGTTTTCACATGCACGAAACATGAAAGAACATTATCTGAAGAAACATAATATCAAAAATTACTTTGAGAAGATATAATTTCGAAGATTTGTAGGGATTAATTTAATTTTCTAATAGTGACTTTTAATTTTGAAACCCTTTCCTTTAAATTCTTGTTTTACACCTACAATTCCCCACTTATGTATACTTTTCTTCTAGCTACTACATGAACCCACACTAGAATAAGATTTCGATATGGCGTTTTATGTAAATGAAGTAAAGCGAATATTTAATAGGAAGTTGAATCACTTCCGTAGAAGAGCTCAGCGTGCTTTGCCTTCGGGTAACGTCGTTACTTTATGCCTATCTTACTACGTTCGGCCGTAGTCCTAAGTGCCTGTTAATATTCGCCAGTGAGATTTAATTACGGGGCAACTCGGTTAGTTATTTCTCTACAGCTCCGGCTAAGTTTGAGTTAGGATCAGTTTATCGTTTTAATTTAAGCTTTAAGTTAAATCAACATCGAAAAAAATCGAGTGATTTTCGAAGTCTCCAAAACATCAGAAATTATATTAAAATTTTCATACAAAATGCATTTCAAAGATTTATTTTTCCTCTTTTTTCTGTGATGCAAACAATACCTTCCTGAGATTTTGATTCTTTAAGTGATGATATATCTAAACACTTCAACAAGTAAAAACTGTTTAAAATAGCTTCAAAGTTAAATTGAAAACTCTAAATCGAAATTTTAAAACATTCGCTCCATCACATTGCTTATTCTTCCACAAACAGTGCATGTACAAAATTTTATCTCGATAAGTAATTTAAAAATCGATGAATGACTTTTGACCATAGCGAAGCGTACTACGGACTGAATTAAATAAAAGCTTATAAAAGTATCCATGCACTTAAAAAATTTATGTTTTCTAGTACGTATATTTTTTTGTTACCGTAGCAATAACTAATGTAATTTACTCCTTACTTCTGCTTGTTTTACAATTACGTATTTTTTTTCGTGGGAAAAAAACATTAAAACTAGTTAAACGCTAGTTGGTGTCAGAAATCTTTTATAATATTCCTCAAAAGTAAAAAAAAAAAAAAAAAAAAAAAAAAACTCTAACCCTCTTTGTGACATAGGAATTGTGGTAAATATATTCGTGTTATTGTGCGTATGTTATAAATAAATTTAAAAGGATTCTAAATATAAAAAATAAACTTCATTCTAAAAGATCATCAGAGTTAAGCGAGAGAGATCAACAGATCATTTTAAAGATTAAACCTTTCTGGTGTAGCCAAAGTTTCTCTTCTATTGCATCAGAACTTTAAGACTTTACGAGAAAAGAAATTCTTTCTAGAATATTAAAAAAATTTATAAAATCATCTGGAGATTATGCTGTAGTAGCTAGACGAAAAGTATACATAAGTAAAGTTGACAAAGAGACATAAAAATAGATATATAACGGTGCGAGTGTATGGCTGCAAGCGATATGGAAGTTTGTGCATAAGTCTTGTTATTTTGAATAAATACGGTTATTTGAATATTTTAAAAATTAATTTGAAACAAAAATTGGGTCTTTACGGCAACTTTTGATTTAAAAAAGATAATGATCTCAAACACAAAATTCGAACTTTTTATTGAACTTTTTGAACTGTTACCACCGCATATGTTGAAAACATCACCACAGTACCACAGTATTGAATATATTTGAGAAGAAATGAAAAGGAAACTTCAAAAGTTCTCGATATCAAATAAACATCATTTAATAAAAAATACGAGTTAGTAAAACACGATTACTTGAATTATCATTTTGTAAAAAAATGAGTAAAAATTTTCAAACATGTGTGTTTAAATTTAGTAAATTCAATGCCTGAACTTCTTCAAGCCATTAGTAATGCAAAATAATACTGCATTATTTGAAGGTATTTCTTTCTTTTAATTTAAAGGTAATATTATATTGTTACGGATTTTGTATTTAGTTAGTTATTTTTAATAGAATTATGATTAAAATTGTTTCATATCCCCGTGCAATGCAGCACGAGACATATTTTAAGAGAAAGCTACGCCGGAAAAGAAAAATACAAAAGCACGTGCATTTAACATTGAATAAAAGTTTATCTCTGTAATTTATATTTAAACTGAATAAATGTAGTTGACTACTAGGTCAGCTGTAACCGTATTTTTCTTTTGCTTTTCAGAAATCTCGAGAAAATGGAAATTACCAGAACTTTCTCGCGACCGATTTAATGCTATAAAAAGCCAAACAGAGAATATTTCATCTCAGTTGTTTAATGAACTATTTTTGTTGTTATTATTCTTGATCGGATTAGATTTCTCTGCGCTTTAGATTGCGTTCTTTTTAACGTTTTAGTAGTTTAAAATATATCTATTAATTATATTGCGTAATATTGAGATATTACAATATCTTTGAGGAAAATCCAGCGTTTTATTATATTTCTTGTGATAAGAATAAATTTTGTTAACTTTTTATCGGATTTGTGCATTCAATCCATTACGAACCCGTACTCACGCAACAATATTTAAGAATAAAGTATATTTTAAAAAATTTTTTTTCAGTATATATAAAAATAGCTTTTAATTTTATTACATGCCTATGTTCATTGTGTTCAATACATGCTGAAATATTATTGCGATGATTTAGTTCGTTTAAATATGAATCAGCGTAATTAAGTAAACATTTTTTCATAAATTTTAAAATTATTTCCCAAATTTTACAAATATATGAATAATTCTTTCCTTCGTTGTATACATTAACGTTGATAAAATGTTAAAGATGAGAAAATATGTGCCAAATTTGCCTTTTACTTTAAAATATAGTATTAAAAATAATCTCAAGAAGAAAATTACATTTTTACGAATTAAATTTCTAAGACATACTTCAAGAAGCACAATTTTATCGCCAAATGGAAACTAACTGCTTCAGATCTGATGACAAAAATGTTTAACTGGCCTTCTTGCTTGGAATGACTTAAAAACAAATAAATAAAAATAAAATAATAATAATAATAATAATTGGCTATATGCAAATCGTATTGCTTTACTGATACGGCGATGCACAGAATGGTATCCGGCAAAGAGAGATGCCTTATATGGAGAACGTTTTAAGAAAAACTGGTTCTTATTTACGTGCATATGCATAAAACAACGAAAAGGCCCACGCAGCCAGCCTGTTCGCTGGGATTAAAAACCCAATCGAACCACCATTGTTCAGCGACTTTAGCGCTTGGCGGCTGATGCCTGGTTTGGTTTACGTGATTACGGCAAAGCCTCGAGGGCTATCTGCCTAAGGGAAGGGATGCCTTCGTGAAGGACTTTCAAAGAGAAACTCGGCTCGCCGGCTAAAATTTTACAACTTAAAAGTCCTACTATTTAAAGGAAAAATTTGATTTTTAAATATGCACTAAACATTTATTTTATGTTCCTTTTTATTACCAGTTTTAATAATATGTATAATATTTCCGACATAACCTATAGCAGAATATAAATATTAGTGCGAACAGGCATACAGTTCCCTTTGTGAAGAGAAGATTTTAACATACGTTATCGGTGAACACAGTTGAAACGGTAATTTCATTCTGATACTATAGTTACATAGAAAAAAAAACAATATATATATATATATTTAGAAATGAAAATGTTACTCTAAATATATTAAAACGTATCCTAGCTTTGCAAGAAAGCAGTTATGTTATATATTAATGCATGTAAAAGATATTAATTTATTGTTTGTAATATTTAAGGCTTTTAGCTAATAGCAGGTGCATTTAGGATATCAAAAACTTTATGCGGAATTTTATGTTCAATAGGCGAACGAATAGAAACACTGGTTACGATATGTGTTTAAGGACCCAACAAATATACTACCCAGTGCTAACAGAATTGCAACTGGAAAATTTGAAAGAGCTTTTAGTCCATTAGCCGTCAGGTTTATAAAACCGCTAAATGCTAGTAGTTCGACCTGGCTTCAAGTCCTGGAACACATGGTTTCCTAGAAAGTTCTCCATGAAAACATTTCTCTCCTTAAACAGAAAACCCACTTATGCTTTGCTTTAATCCAGTAACCCAACTTCGAACAGCTTAACTTCCCATCTATGAGTCTTCCCAGAATTTTCGCTTTATGTCTAAACATGTTTTAAATAAATTTGCATAGAAATGTTCGGATATCTAAATTCTAAATTTTTGGGAAAAGAAACTGGAAACAATTTAGTCAGCTTGAAAATTTACAGAAATATAGCATTAAGTCTCGTAATAACCAAGGGGAAAAATTCAGAAGTTATTAGGTATCTTGCGAACACGTAAGTAAGAAGCCAGTTACTCCTTAGTTTCACTTAAATGCTCTTTATAACCTTCATAGTCTATTGAAAATGTTATTTTTAATAAATAACTTGCAGTCAAATTAGATAATGATATTGTGCACCATAACAAGACCCCATTTAGCATTATCTGCCAAACTGCTTTAATGTTAAAGAATATGTTCATTTTATTGCTTTGATGTCAAAGATTACATATAATATTTAAATTGCAGATTTCTGAATTGTGGCTTTAATGTGGGAAGATATGAGCTACCGGTCTCGTAGCATCGGTTACAGAACTAAAAAGTGGAATGACTTAGAATGGGAGCTTCATCTAGAGCAACCAGCAAAAAGTTCAAGGTCCAGAACCGCTAGGTGGCAGTGCGGCGATAATAAGAAACTGAAGAAGCTCATTTCCAACTTTTCTAAGAATTCAAGTGCCCACGGGACGGCGTACATCTGCGACAGTAGCAGTGGTACTTCAAAGTTCATGAAGATCGTCTACAAGTAATGTCTTTCATATTTTTAAAGATGACTTACACCACAGATTCTTAACCATTTTGACGAAGAACATTGGATTTACTTTTAGCTTTCCGAATGTGCAATGACTTGAGCATAGTGTAAATAGATTTTAAGATTTTGCATCAAAACTTCAATCAAATAAGAACCCATTCAACCATTTTCTACCGACGAGCACATCCGAAGTACAGTGGGCAAGAAAGGCATAATTGTCATCTTAGGTCTATAAGACGTGAGCAAGGGTTCCAGATTTAAAGCTGCCCTAAATCATTCTAAAATTTCTCATAATGCCGTTTTTAAACGCGGGCAAGGGTTCCAGATTTAAAGCTGCCCTAAAATCATTCTAAAATTTCTCATAATGCCGTTTTTCAGTCACAAAACACGAAACTAGGCGTTAGGAGACCCAAGAATGAATAAGCTGTCTTAGAAACTAAACTGCGCCTAGGCACAGCAAACACTGTTTTCCTCGTAATAAGTTTATAATTGAAATTAATGCATTGCATAATGTATACGATAAACATATAAAAATTATCATGTAAATTAATTGAAATATAACAGGAATTATATGAAATTGCATATAAATACTTCTGTCAGTATAACTTTTGACATCATCAAGCAGGACATCACATTTTGGGATATAGGAATCTTCGTCGAAAATTACGTTCAGAATAAATATATACAACCGAAAAACAATTTCACTTTGTGTGTTACTCTTTTATTAAGATGGAAGTCTTTCTTCGTCAACAAAATTTAAAAAATCCTCATCTGCTACATTCAATTTTAAAATAATGTCTTTTACGAGAATTGAGATTTTTAGTTACTGTCAAAATGGTTGACAGGAAGAATAAGCGGTTTTAATTAATAAAAAATAATTTTTTTGGCTATGGTAATATTGTTAATCATAGATAACTAAATATAAATGTATGAGACAGCTAGGATGGATTTTAAATAAATGTTAGTCAAAACGAAATTTTAATGAACTGAATGTAATCGTTTTTACTTTCGTTATTCCTATTCTTTCTTCACTTCTTACTTATGCTATTCAGTTCTACTCTTCCTTGAATTCACGATGAAATTTTGTAACAGCATATAGACTGCAATTATCTCTATACATTTCGTTGTTAAATTTTTAGACGGACATTTTTTAAATGGTAATGTGTTTTAAGTATTTACATATTTATACTAGTTACTTTATGCTCGAAAAAACATTCAGAAAAACACAACTGAAGTTGCAAAATTAAAATTTTGTTTTCTAACATAAGTTTTGGTTTTTAGGGAATAGAAAAGATTTAGTTCTGCCTGTTGTCTACCAATGTTTTACATTTTTGTTTATACGGTTTATTTTTTATATTTTTGTTTATACGGTAAAAATTCCCTCCATAGGAATTAAAGTTATATTTATTTTTATTGTTATTACATACCATTGGCCGTGAAATTGCCTTATCACTTTTGCTTAAATTGTGATTTGAAATTTTCTTTACTTTATATGACTTAACAGAATTTTCTCCATGTCAGAGAACGTTAAAAGATTTATCTAATGTAAATTAATGATAAAAGTTTTTTTTCATTTTACCATATTTCGGGTTATGAAAGGTTCCACAGGAAGCTCTACTTCCGTTAAGGCGGGAAGAACTAAAATACAATAATAGAACTAAAGGTAAATAAGTAAGTATGGTCAACATAACTTTTATTGGAATATCAACAATTTCAGCAACAGCAATTTCTTATTCTTATTACGCATGATAATTTTTAATTTCAGATTAAGAAAAACTGTGTAGCAATCCTCAAAGTATTAAAACAATGTAACTCAAAACTGACAGTAATGCTTAATATACAACTGCACATATTATGATCGTTCCAAACTCAAAGAAAGGGTTATTTTACAAAGCATATGATCCACATAAGGGTCATAAATTCTAAATTTTGAGGGCTTCGAGATTTTTCTAAACCACATTTTAGTGATGTGTGGTGAAATTTTCGATAACACGTATGTATAATTCCTGCATCCATATTGATTACACACAATGCCAAATTTCTAGATCTTGATAAAATCCGATTTTTTTGGCAAATAAAGTAATAATAATGAAATAATAAAAAATAATAAAAAGTTTTTAAGCTACACGGTTTTAATGAAATGCACTAAAAGCCAAAAAACTAAATTTTTTAGCCGTTCTAAACTTCTTAATCAGATGTGGCTAAATATTGTTACGAATTTGGTATTTAAAAAGCTAATGTTAGTTCAATTATAAATTAAATGGTTTTATTTCTCGCGCAGTGCAGCGCGTGACGAATATTAAAAGAAAGCTAAGCCGGAAAATTGAAAATACAAGAGCGCGTGCATTAAATAAATAAATATCTCTTTTTGATTTCGAGAAAGTACTGGAAAATTCTAGCGCGTGATTTTAAAATCTTATAAAAGGAGGAAAACATCTCAGTTTGTAGTTGTTGTAGTAGTTGCTTAGTTTGTTGTTATTTAGAAAACTGCTCTTGTCGATTATAGCGAATTCGCGGATTAGAGTTCTTTAGCTGTTTTGAATTACGTTCTATTGGACATTTGAGTAGTTAAAAGATAACTACTGTGAGATATTGTAATACTGCATGATAATTTGAGAAAATTTAAGCATTTTTGTTGTGATAATAATAAATTTTTGTTCATTTTTCATCGGACTTGTGCATTCATTTCATAACGAACCCGTACGCACGCAACAATTTTTGGTGTCAGAAGTGGGATTTGAATGCCAATAACAAGAGCGATGGAAGAACAATTCAAGGCAAATGATGACTGCATTTGCTGCTTTCCAAAAAAAGATGGAAGGAGCCGTCAACTCCGTTAAGGAAGATATAAAAGCTGTACAAGAAAAAAATGGAAACTGGCCAAAATCTTTAAAGAAGAAATTAAAGAGAAAAGGATGCTGGTCAAATATCCGTTAAGGAAGAAATGAAATTGGGCCAGGAATGCGTTAAGGAAGAGATGAAATCCCTTAAAGACGAGATGAAAGCAGGTCAGGACGAAATGAAAAAGAGAATTACCTGCGTAATAGAAAATAAATTTGAGGCTATGGAAGGCAGAATAGACGTGGTTGAAAATAAAGTTGGACAAATAGAAGAAAAGAGTTTCTTCGGTAAAAGAACAAGTAGAAGAAAGAGTTTCTTCTGTAAAAGAACATATAGAAGAGAGAGTTTCTGCCGTCGAACAACAAATTGATGATAGGGTTTCTGCTGCCGTCGCCAAAGAAGTTGACAGCTTAAAGAAGTGCATAGCGACGGTAGGAAACAATTCTGAAGGTTTTAAATTTTTATCCGATGCCTGCTCGTCCCTCTCTGAAGCTATCCTACATATGATGGGAAGACCTCCTGGCAAGTGTATAAGACACAATTTTCTATCGTTGCGGATGCGAATGGATGGGATTCCCAAGCTAAGGCCTGTCATCTCGCCGCTTCTCTGAGAGCAGACGCAGCGGATATCCTGCAGACGCTTCCCGAAAATCAAAGGCTTAGACTTTCGAAGCTCTATCCGGCGCTTTGGAGCTGCGCTTCGGCGAGAAATGTTTAAAAGACTACAGCAGGCTCCAATTAAAATCTCGTCAACAGAAGCTCCACCGAAACACTTCAGGAGCTCGCCACGGATGTTGAAAGGCTGTCACATCACGCCTTTTCGGAGTGCCCGACAGAAACAAGGGAAATCCTGTCCCTGCAATATTTCATCGATGGCATCCGGGACCCTGAAATACAGAAAGCACTGCGAATGGCGGATGTTAAAGATCTGAAAAGCGCTTTAGTGTACGCCATGAAATTCGAGGCAGCCCAGCAAGCCACCCGTCGAGACCGCCATCCCAGTCAGAGCTGCTCAAGTCCAGGAGCCAGGGGATCAAGTCACTGCTCGTCTAGACGATTTAACTAGACAACTGAACGCCTTGAGACGGAATATTGGTGACAAGAAACCGACCGTAAAGTGCTGGAACTGCGGTGCTGAAGGACACATACGACGAAACTGCAGAACACCCCAGGGCACGGATGTTAAGACCGCTCCTAACAAACAGCAGGGAAACTAATTAGTGGCCATCTCGCGGGGCGGAGGTTGCCAGATAATGAAAAGCCCCAGTTTAAAGCGCTTCAGATTTCTGCAGTGAGAGGCGGCAGTAATGGACTTTTCATAATAGGACATATTAATGGAGTTCCCTGCAATATGACAATAGATACAGGAGCCAACGTTACCATCATCCGAAAAGATTTTGCTCAACAAACTGGGAAGCAAACTTATCTGGACGCCGCCCTGCGTTACCCTCCAGACTGTGTCCGGTGAGAAGATCGATATCGATGGAAAAGTAAATGTTAACATCACGTTTGGAAGTGCCGCTTACCATCACACGGCATATGTAGCAGAGATCATTACAGATTCTTGCATACTCGGATTGGACTTTCTAAGGAAATACAATTTTTCCTTGGACTTTAAAAATAACGAATTGCATTCTACATCTGAGGACATAGCGTTATTTGGAGTTAATGAATGAAGTTAAATCTGTCCATAAAATCATAGCACAAGACAATATCACAATACCGGCAAGAACAGAAATTTTACTTCCTGGATCCATAGCCGAAAACAGAAATTTCCGCTACGGCATCATAGAATATCCCAATAACTGTAATAGCCCAAAAGGAGTACTAGTAGCCTCAACACTCGTCGACCTATCCAGAACGGTTATCCCGGTGAGAGTCGCCAATGTAACTGAGAAGGCGAGAGTTATTAAGAAAGGTGAAGTGGTTGCAGCATGTACTCCAGTAACCAGCGTTGAAAGAAAGAGTAACATCCCAGAATCCGTGTCCTCAGAGAGCATTACATCGGAGTTATTGCAGAATGCGCAATTAAACGATGAAAGAGAAGAATGCTGCCGATCGCGTCATTAAAGATCTTCAAGTTGTTTTTCTCCCGCTCGTCTTCTGACGTGGGTCGAACTAGTTTGACACAACATAGAATCGATACCGGCGAT